ATACACACGGAAAGAACACTTTTGACAAATCTAAAAATCTAGTCAAATACAAATCTGAGAATAACTTTGTTGAGCTTTCAAAATGATTATGTTCGTGTTGATTGCTAGAAGATAAAAAATTAGCAATACTTTTATCATGTTTAAGCGTTCTACATAATAATTTTGATAGTCCAATAAAATTATTTTCAAGTCTGCATCTGGCTATATACTTAAATTTGCCAACAAACTGTTCTCTCCGTGCAGATACACTTCAATTATATTTATTACAAGTTAATCTCATCACTTTCTTTATACAATAATTTAATATATATATATATAGAGTTTTCTCTTCTCGGCGAAGATTCGATCGTACTTTTCCTACATTTACATTTGTAGTGTATTCTTCTGGATTAATTCTCTTTCTGCAATGGAAGGTTCATGAGGAATGTGGCGTTCGCGTGGCGCAACACTTCTCCTTAATTAGAAAGTCTCTCGCCCGCGGAAAATACGCTATTTCATAATGACAAAAAGCATAATTGAGATTACGCGTAGAGACGATGCTCCCATAAGGTCGGAAAACTAACTCGGGACCAGTCGCCAGGATTAATCGGCTGTGATAAATTGGCTCGCGTTTGCGTTCGGTAAATTTCATTAGTTTCGGCAGATTTTGCCGCTCAAAACTATGCAGCTCTGAAAAATAAATCATGATCGATATATACATAAAGGCTATGCTCCAAAATTGATCATAAATACTGAAAATGTATAATGCACGTTATGTAAATTACACCGAGATAAGTGATATTGCAGTCACAACGAAAATTATCTAGATACGAAAAATTAGCTACATGGATAAATAATTAACAATATTGCAATATCGCACATGTTTCGTATCTAATCAATATAGATGGCAAAGACAGAATTTTCATCTAAATAATTTGTCAAATTTTGCAAGAAAGTCTCCCTATGACGTCTAATTGGACAATAGCCAGTTACGCCTTTTGTGAAAGGGGCTGTATGATTTGTTTATGAGACCTAAATTTTTTGTCATATATATATATATATATAGATATGTTGTTGCTGTTATAAATTCTACGTATTTGCACTTACTAGACAATTTCCTAGGAGATACAAAAGGGCAGCTATACATTTTAACATTTCAGAATTCTAGCTAAACCAGCGAAAGCATGTTTTTAAGTGTCTAGACTTTTAACGCTGCCAGCTAAACATTTGAAACATAATCGA